TGGAGCTACATGTTTTATATTTGATTGTATCATTTTATGCAATATGTTTTTTAAAATTTAGAATTTTCTTGGAAGAAATGTATCTTTTACAAATCGGGATACCTTATCTAAATAAAGCAGTACTATTCTTATCATTGTTAAATTGCGGGAACAGAACGAAGTACATGGGGTAGATTAAGGTAAAAAATGATTTTTTATTTTTTTTTATTTTTTTTTTTGAAGCTTTTATGTGTTCCCTTGTTGGTATTTACAAGCCATGACGACTGCAGTGGTACCGAAATGTGCAGAAAACAAGAAAATTTCAAACATTGTTTGGAATTTATCAATGGTAAGCTTTCTTTTGAAGCAATAATTTTCAATTTTATACCAGAAAAAGAGCATCTGTAACAGTCCAGTCCAATACGAAAATTCGTAAATTACAAAAAAAACGTAAGATTACGAAAGATCGTAATATTACAAGTTATCGTAATATAAAACATATATTACAATTTTTCGTAATGTAGTTAAATTACGAATACGCATAATACAGCAGATTGTAAGAGACAATATTACGAGTTTTCGTAATCCAAGACAAATTCAAGCATTGCAAGAAATTGATTGGTGAGTAGCAAAGTATGACGTCAAACTAACCTCTTGGCACCCTGTCTGTGCTATGGTGTTTTGCATTCAATAGATTTCCATTCACTTTATATGCAAAAAAACACATGAAATGTAAATATAAAATAATATCCCGTGCAATGCAAAGACTCGCATGGATTAATTCTGCATTTTCTTGTTATTAAAAATAAATTCAGAAGTGTTAAGCAGTAGTCCTCCTTTCTAGCTATTAGACACCATTCCATTAACTATGCATTCAATCAAGCTTAAAGAAATAAAACGCAATTCTTAAATAATATCAAATATCATAATCAATAACATGTAGTCCTCAAAGATAGACACGGATTTTACTAAATATGAATTAAACTAATTGTAAGGTTATGACAGTAATTGCAATAACAATAGCTAACTACAATCGTATCTTGACAGTTTATCAAATTTTATTTTTAAAGCATATATTACACATTAAAAAAAACAAATAAAAGAAAATACTTTCAGATAAGGTACTAGTACTATAGCTTTAAAAAGGTTTCAAACTGTAATTCTTTCCATTTCATTATATTTCTGTTTGTCTAACTATCTACACCTGAACTTTTGATCTAAATAACATAACCATTTAAACCAGGAATCATTCAGAAATATAGTTGATACCTATTCAAAGTTCTTATTTTTTAGGCCGATATGAGGTCTTTCAAAGCTTACAAGCAAAACTTCTTTCTTGGCCATTTGTTTGGTATTTAATATTGCTCTCATCAGAATTTATAACAGAAACAACAAAATAAATAAAGACTGTCGTATGTCCATTTGTAGTTGCTATTGCTATACTTTAAGTGACATATACACGTATTATAACGTAAATCAGCAACATTATTTTAATCAATACTTATTCCAGACCTCAAGCCAAAGGCATCGAAGTTGAAAAGCTTATCAAAAAGATCCAAACGGACTGATTGGTCGACCTGTCATCCTTTATTGAGGCGGGAAGCAGCTTTATTCTGATAATCAACCAGCAGAAAAAAACCTATCATGTGAAAAACTTGAAATAAAATGAAAACAAATGTTTGTCTGTTGTTTAACGACCCTCTTGATAATTTTTCACTCTCATGGACACGACATAACTTACCGGTGGAGATCTTCAAATTTTATCCCACACTCGGCACTTACGGCCAATAAGCATTGGGATGTTTTTCGTGTCAACACCTACTGCGACAAAGGATTATACGGTCTAATCATCCGAAAGACAGTGAAACTTATTGTAAAGCCATAGATTTTCTGATAATAACGATTAAATATTTTTTACGTTTTGCTAAATGTATGGATTTTTTTAAATTCTAAATTGTTGGATACGTTTGAAAGGATATTATAAATCGTACCGATTTCTTATGTAACGAAAGATATTAATATAACGTACATAATGTAGCAGTCTTCAATGTCAAAGTCCTTTAAAGCAATACAAAATAGGAGCAGACATGGACTTCCAATTCATCAGCTCTCTACTCCACTTACACTGGCCTGGGTGCTCTTTTTCATGATTGGGGAAATCAGAAAAATCCGTCGACAAGTTCAATGTGAAAATAATTGCATAACAATTTGATGGAAAAACTTCAGTCAACATTCGACTAAATGATATAGTGTGTTTGTTGAGCATTGTCATTGTATTGAATATAGAATTTGAGAAATGTTGACTTTCTGTTGATGCCCTTGTTTAAGTACCTTGTTTGTCAATAGTTTTTTTTTCATTTCCGAAATGATTTGGACGTTGAACATGTTCTTGCGTATCGAATCAGCTCGTAGTTATAGACCCCACGAAGAGTGAATATCGTATGAATAAGTGTAGTAGAAAGATATGGAGATAACAAACAGTATTCAACATCAAAGTCCATAAAACAATTCAAAATAGGAGCAGAGCAAATACGGACCTCTAAAAGATCAGAGGTGGGATCAGGTGCCATGGACGAAAAAACGTTGGAGTCATAACGTTTAACAAAAATTTTTCTCATGTTTTCATGAACGTCTATTTAGAGTAAAATTCTTCATATGAAACAGACTTGACAGACTCTTTTATTTGAAATTCAAAAGCGATATATCGAATCAATCTTCTTTTTCCTATTGAATTTTTCCGGTAAGTTTTTCAGTAGATCTTTTTCATTGATATTTGATTTCTTGCTGACAAATATATTCTGGAAACGTTTTGTTTCTTTACTTTTTTTAAGCTTAACATAGGTAATCAGAGATTACAGAGCTCACCTTAACGAATGTTGTCTTTAAGTAAGGCAATGTCACACAATTAACCAACAAAAAGTGTACATCACAAAATTAAAATATATATGCAATTTTGATCTGATACTTTGGAATAGACCTAAATAAAAACTTCAAACTAGTTCTTTTTCATTAAAATGTAATTAAATTCCAGCATCTGAAGCAAATCTAAGAGTTTTCATCCCTTGATGCATCGTTTGTGCAAGTTTGGTTTATACAATGTTATATAAACCTTATAGTTTTTTGGTAATAGACCTGCACCCATAACTTTTACCTGGTCCATTATCTGAAAAATGTATGTCGAATTCAGCATCCGAAGCAAGTACATTAGTGTGCATCCTAAGATGTATCGTCCATGCAAGTTTGCTCATTATAGTGCTCATAGTTACTTGGAAATGATATCTGCATCAAAAACTAACCTTTTTACTCATCCACAAAATGTAGGTCAGACTCAGCATCTGAAGCAAGCCTGGTAGTATGCATCCAAAGATGTATCATCCATGCAAGTTAAGTCATTGTAGGGCTCATAGTAACTTAGAAATAAAACCTGCATCAAAAACTGAAGGTCAGATTCAGCATCCGAAGCAAGCCTGGTAGTTTGCATCCTTAGATTCTTCATCCTTGCAACTTTGGTCAACAACTTTAACCTGTTCACTCATCCGAAAAATGTAGGCCAGATCCAGCATCCGAAGTACGTCCGGTAGTATGCATCCTTAGATGTATCACCCATGCAAGTCTGGTCATAATAGTGCTCATAGTTACTTGGAAATGAGACCTGCACCAAAACCTTTAACCTATTCACTCAACCATGAAATGTAGGTCAGATTCAGATTCCGAAGCAAGCCGGTAGTGTGTATCCTTATATGTATCATCCTTGCAAGTTTGGTCAACAACTTTAACCTGTTCACTCATCCGGAAAGTGTAGGTCAGATCCAGAATCCGAAGTAAGTCTGGTAGTATGCATCCTTAGATGTATCATCCATGCAAATTTGGTCATTATATGGCTCGTAGTATCTTGGATATGAAAACTGCACCTCAAACTTTAACCTGTTCACTCAACCGGAAAATGTAGGTCAGATTCGGCATCCGAAGCAAGCCTGGTAATATGCATCGGTAGATGTATCATTCATGCAAGGTTGGTCATTATAGTGCTTATAGTTACTGTTACTTGGAAATGAGACCTGCACTGGGTGAAAAAAGTGGTTTCCCATCATGGGAAACTTTATGGAAACCACATGGAAACCTCAAGTTTACATCATGTTTCCCAGTGGTTTCCGTAGCGGATGCTAGGTTATTCCGCCAAGTTTCCGTGACACGGAAACCCCCTACGCTCCGATTCCATAAGGTTTCCCGAACCACGGAAACCTCTGTAAACCTGAAGTTTCCCGAACATCCACGTAGTTTCCCGTAATGGGAAACCTGAAGATTCCACTGGTTTCCAGAATCAGGAAACTTGATGGAATCGGAGCGTAGGGGGTTTCCGTGGAAAGGAAACTTGGTGGAATCTTTAGGTTTCCTTATATGGGAAACTACATGGAAGATCGGGAAACCTCACAATTCCTAAAGTTTCCTTGACTCAGGAAACCATATGGAATCGGAGCGTAGGGGGTTTCCGTGGAATGGAAACTTGATGGAATCTTTAGGTTTCCTTATACGGGAAACTACATAGAAGCTCGGGAAACCTCACGATTCTTATGTTTCCTCGACTCAGGAAACCATATGGAATATGAGCCTAGTGGTTTCCATGGAATGGAAACTTGATGGAATCTTAAGGTTTTCTTTTATCGGAAACAACATGGAAGCTCGTGAAACCTTATGATTCCTGAAGTTTCCTTGACTCAGGAAACTATATGGAACTTGTGTAGCACTTTCTGTGTGGCGGAAACTTGGTGGAATTATCTGGAGTCCCATTCCTGGTGGAAATTACTGGGAAACTTCAAGATTCCCCAACTTTTCTAAAGGAAGCAATGTGAAATAATGCGTATTCTTTTAAAAATTTATCAAAAAAATTTATTACATGTAAAAGAAAAAAGCATTACCATTTTAAATGTTTAATAATTCATTTGATGTACAAAAACTGTAACTGAATTTTTCAATGATATCAAAATATTAAATAAATTCATATATCTTAGATAAACAATAGTCTTTCACATTCAAGTCCATTCATAAGGGTCATTAAGTACTTCTTTCAACATCAGTTTCCTGGTTTTCTTCACATCACCTATGATCTGCAATATTCATACAAAATTATTATATGATGTCAGAATTATAATGCTTGATAACTTAGAAATCTGAAAGATCAGTCAATGTCCTTTAATATACCAATATCAATAATTACTTTCCATGACCATGATACATATGATTTCAGCATTTAATTTATCTCTTTAATATTCAATGCTTTATGATTAGTGAAAAAAAGAAAACAATATAAATAATGTGTTCAGCCTTATTATGTCATTGAGAATATATTACTACATGTATCTCATACTACGAACCCTGTTTTAAGTTTGATTAGTTTGAGAGAAAACATACCCTTTATAATAACAAAAATATTAGGGAGAGATTTTTTTAATTAATTTTGATATTCAACCTATAAATTGGTTGAAGATCATTGCAGACCCTCCACCCCATTAGACAAAAGCTAGATTACACCAGGGGAGAAATATACTCTGGACTACGAATTTAAATAAAGATATACAGTACATTTTGATACTGACCTTTGACCTAGAAAATTAGTCCAAGGTCACATGGAGTGATGGGTAGACACTGTCTGAGGGCATCCACAGAACAGGACCTAAAAATAATGCAATATATATGTATTACAGTATATATACACATGTACTTGTATGTTAATGATTTATCATATGCTGCATTGGACACATATGATTTTATCATGGTTTAAGTATCCCTGTATCTTATGAGTAATTTTATACCGGTATTGCATGTATGCTCAGTTTATTTAAGAAATAAATAACAAGTTTATAAACTTCAATTGGAGAGATACCACAAATCTATAAATAAACAAGTAATTTAATTTTTTTTTTTTTTACATATATTGACCAACATTATTTACATCCATTCATCATGTTCATGAATTGGCTGATCAATATTCAGTCAGTTTTAGATCTACATGATATACCATAAAGGACTTTGAAGTTTCACATTTACAAAAGTTATTCCCCTTCGCAGGGTCGATCTGGGGTCAACCGGCTTAACACGCTGTTTTCCCTCTTTAACCGTATCAATGCTGAGAGACAATATCTTAGAAATAAAATCTGTATGAACATATTCATTATGATTTTCATGTTGTCTCCATACTCTGGCAATACAGATCGTAATTGTCCAATATTTTTGAAGATTAAAAATATATTAACAAGTAACTTACAAAGGACAAAGTGGGAAAAATGAGCGATACGCCGACAATTGGAGAAAACTCTTAGGAATTTGAAATTCGTCTATTGGTGATGACAATTCCTGTTTTAATGTCACTGAAAAATTAAGAGACATTAAAAATTTAAGCCCTGATTGTCATACACGCATGCTGTTTTTTCATCCATATAACCTTTTAGTATCATAAAATTTATCAAAATTTAATACTTCAAATAATTTCATTGAATATCTTTAAAATAAAGGAAACTCTAAAAACTTAGTGACTTGCAGAAATTATTCCTTGGAGAGAAAAAAATCTATCATATTTCATATAAATATATGCATAATGAGCCTTTTTTATGCATTTAGAACATATGGTATGTGCCTCATTTCCCCTAAGAAATTTTCAAAGACAATGGACTATCTGTAAGCAGAAAACTTGAATCCCCTTCACCCAAGGATACTTTGTGCTAAGTTTGGTTGAAATTGGCCCAGTGGTTTTTGAGAAGAAGATGAAAATGTGAAAACAAATGGAAAAGTTTACGACGACAACAACGACAGGCAACGGACAAATTTTGATCAGAAAAGCTCACTTGAGCCTTCGGCTCAGGTGAACTAATAACTAATTTCCTATTTTTTTAATTTTAAATACCAGTAATGCTAAAAATAATTCAATCTATCAAAAATAATCTAACTGAATGTAAAATAACATTTTTCATAATCTTAATCTAAGGGCAGATCACTCTAACTTCATAAAACTACCTGATATTAAAGTAGAACTCTTTAGTTTTTAGAGCTTCCTTTCAGTAATCAAAATACTGACCAGCAACAAATCAGTTAATAAGCATTTCCTTTTTTCATTCATTTTTATTCGAAAGATCTCAGAGTTTTTTCTTTTCAATTCAGGTTCAAGATGACAAAGTTTTATTGAAGTGTATGTATTAGAGAACTGATTGTATGTCAATCATAGCAATACACACATAACATGGAGGGGGCAAATTGTTTCAGCCCTAGCTTTTACATAAAACTTCTTGTAGCTCACAGCTGATATACCACAGTTCAGTATTTAAATAAAATTTAGAATTTTTTTTTCAGGCAATTGTCATATACATACTAATCATGAATGAATTACCACTTACCAAATCCTGAATCATCATACATTTTCTATGATTTTATCTCACTGGTTTCTTTTAACGTCACACAGTTTTCTTCTCTCTGAAATGATAAATTATGTCCAGGTACTATTGCATTCTAATTTAAACTAATTATGTAATAGCATTAGCAACAACCGGGATGGAAGAAAAATAACCAGAAGTCTCTGTCGAGACTGTAGCTCTACTGGTTTGTACTTATCAAAGACTGATGCACAGAATTATGTATAGTCTACTTGTTTGCCAAGTTATATTGAAATCAGACTGAAATTTAAGGAGGAGTAGTGTTTGCAGACAGACGGAGGGACGGACGCCGGACGCATTACTATCGCATAAACTCTTCTGGTCTCTGACCAGTAGAGCTAAAACAAGATGCGCTTGTGAAACACATCAACAAAGTTCAAAATTGCAATTTTTTTCAGCATACAGGTCACAGTCAAGATCACATAATCATTGTCCTTGTTGCCATTTGAAAGCACTTCATTAGTGGAGTATGCATACTAAATATGAAGCCACTATCTCGTATAGTTCTAAAGTTATGGTGAAGGTTTAAGTTGACAACAGACAGACAGACACACATATACAGTTATGGCAAAAGTTTGAACATTATAACTTGGTATACACACGGCCACTTCAACAGTCTTCGCCAAAAATTTTTTTCAGCACATGCCCTTCGGGCAGGTGTGATAACCAATTACACAAGCCCGAACAAATATTTACATGCCCAGAATTTTATCAAGTTATAGTATTATTCTTATTTGCCATTTCATGCCAAGGAAATGATCTGAAATCCATTCTGTCAATTTATGGTCTCGCCATTTGTTTTCAACCTGTACACTTTTTGTGTCTCCTTTGCAGAAGAGTTCCTTGGAAATCGCGGTAAAATAAGATTTCAGTTAAATTTTATTTTGAACTTGATTTTAGATGGAAAATAAAAGACTTTAAAGCCATATATGGCGTAACTGATCAAAAAATATATTTTTGAAAAATACAAAATTAAGTAAAGAAATATAGTTGATACATTTAAATTAAAGCTTTTCATACAATTCTGAACACGGAGAACACCTCGTTTCATCTAATAATACGATTTTATCTTCCATGTAATGTGTTATTCAAATCTTTTGTATTTTCTTCCGAGTCGGAGAAAATTCCGAGAATCCCAATTAAATTGTGATATCCTTATAACGCAATTGATTTAGATTTTGTAATTTACGGAAAAGTTCTATCTTTATATAAAGTAATGATACAAATAATAAGTTCTTAAAATTTTAGTTCAATAATTTTTATTGTACATACGCCATATATGGCTTTAAAGTACATTTAGTGTAATTGGTCTTAATATTTAATTTTATTATACCGAGGCTTATATCTTAGAATTTACATGCCCTTCGGGCTTGTAAGTGTGCAACTTCCACATGCCCGCTTCCAATTTTACCAGGTCCCGGGCATCGGACTCCCGGGATTTGTCGAAGACTGCTTCAAGGTATCAAGGGTAAAATTCATAGCACAGCGGGACTGCATTTTGACTTCGAGGGATCAAGGGTTTCGAGAGATCAGGAGTTTGAGAAATCAAGAGCAAATCTGCTTAGTTATATAGAGGAAAAAATCGGGACCGGAGACTCACTTCAAGCGATCAAGAACTTCCGAGAGATTGAAGTTCAAGCCATCAAGAGTTACTTTATATACAGATATAAGAGGGATGTTATTGTTTACAATTTTGACCTAATGACAGCTAAATCTGTTCAGTAAGACAATACCGTGTACATGTATGTACGTAGTTTTATTGCGCATTATTTGCTATACATTGACCTACTCAGGTCAATAATTGTGAAAAAACTGATAATTCAAGCTGATGATTCATTTGCATTTCTTGACATACTATCAATATTAATTCACTATTAGGCTTTTCTTTTTTTACATCTTCATCTCAACAGGTTGGACATTACAAAAAAAAAATCTTTTGAGCAGTACTCTATATCAATAAACAATAAAACAAACCTAATCTCTTCAGAAAAGTGGACAGGCTTTCACCTACATTCACTTTTTTATGTATATTTTTCCTCCATATCATTAGTCTCGTTCAACCAGACCCTCGGCTGTCTCCGTAAATCTCCGACCACCCAGAGGGTCTGGTAAAGATACGCAATATCGTTTGTAACGCCAAAACGAGGCTTACTGAAATTCTGGTAAAGTTTTTGATTGGCTGAAAAGAACACACCTACACAATTTAAATAAATACATGATAAATTGGCAGAAAAATAACTTAAAGATGTAAAAGTTATATGTCTGAAAGTTAAGCTGTTAGATAGGAATTGTTTACAGTAATGCCCACCAGTTAAAGGTAAGTGTATAAGTGTGTATCTTGCAAATATTCGGTACGAAAGCAAAAGTGAAAGTAGTGTAGCCCTACCTGCGTAACACACATTCCTTCGATTGATATAGCAATTTCTCGTTTGGTTTCCCAAATTAAAGATTAGTTTATTTATATAAAGACACAATCCAGAAGAAGAAACACATATAACGTTTGTTTTCAAAAAGGATCGTCAAAATGAAAACAAGATAGCGCCCTCTGACGGTTACAAACGCTAACATGATTCTTTACCAGACCCTCTGGGTGGTCGGTTGAGGGTCTGGTTGAACGAGACTACCATATCATCAACATGCATATGATTAAGGGTTATGCTATTTGCTACAATCTATTTCTACTGTTCTGATGAGGATATCCTTCAGTTCATGAATAATCGGATAAGCTGAGATTGAAGACACTTTTTGTAAAAATATTGATGCTTTTATGAAAGTTTTGAACCAAAAATATTTAATTTATACCTTGCCATAAGTCGTAAGTTCCAAAAAACAAGAGTTGGCTATCCGAAAAGTCAGAAAACACATGTATTCAAACCGGATGTTCTACAGTCTGAACTTAACTACGAAAGCATGCTCGGTGTAACTATTATCATCCGGATAATTTGAGCGGGGTTAAAAATATATTTTTTTTTAATTCCGAAAAGAATTCATTTATATAGAGAGAGAGAACATATATATGGAGCATACATATTAATAAACATGATAAAAAGCGAAACGTTGCCATTTTACAACATACAGCATGTACATGCACGGTGCCTTTTGGGCCTTCATAATCAAAGTTATGCTATATCACTGTCTCAATTTTTTCTTCTCTCTCTCTTTCTCTCTGCAATATATACACTTAACAATTTAAAACTTAGGTATCCAACTTTTCAAAATGGCGTCAGAACAAAAGTTGCCTCCGATAGTGAATATTTGTTGTTGCCAAATATTACAACTATTACCGTAAAAAGTTAACAAAAATATACGTACACTAATCCTTCATCGTTGTTCATTGCATTTATCACAGTCTTAAAGACACTGGGTGGTGAAATCATCTTAACTTTTCACATTTACCAGCTGCTTACACCTTCTTCTTCGTCCTTCTCGATCCTCCAAAAATGGCGCCTCGGGAAATTGACCAATGAAATAAAGCGCCCAGAGAGCGATGCAGGATGGGAAATATAAACTGTTTTCATTCACTGATTAAGTGTGATTATGAGATCTCATATTAGAATTCAATTAAGTTTTCCGCTTTTCATGGAATAAAAAGAGCGGCTCCTAAATATTTTTGCCGATATGATTTGTAGGCCTAGTACTGTATATTTAGAAAAAAGCGGTTAAATACATGATGCAAGAGCAGAAAAAAAATGTTTCTTGCTTGACACCTCAACTTATATATTTGCCTTCTGGATATGGGTTTCGGGGCTTGGTTGTTGGTAGTGGCCGTCCTTGCTGAAAGTAATCCCCCTCTCCCCGCTTCTTTTAACTGTTACATGTATGATTATGAATTTATAATGTCACACCAAAAGATGTTAAATTTTTAAAAGCACATTTTTTTTATTGTGAACTTTCCACAGGAATCCTAAAAGGCATGAAAATTAGCTACAATTATAATATGATTATCAAGAACAGTTTTTTTTATTTCAATAGTGATGATTGAAAAGTTCGGTGATTAATAGTTCATTGCTAATATATTGTTGTTTTTTTTTTTTTTTTTTTTTTTTGGGGGGGGGGGTTAAATTACTAATTGAAATCCCTCCTTTTTGGGATTTAATTACATTTTGAGCCTGCTATCAATATTACTGGTGGACCTGCTAGACTTTTCTCTAATTGCTACATGTACATTGTACTTTAAACTCCTTGGCCTTTAGTTTAAAAAAAATTCCCACATCATTTTAACACGGAAAAAAGCTAAAAAAAAAAAATTCCCACATAATTTTAACACGTAAACTTGTTAAATGAATCAGAATGTTGAAAACCTTTTTCTTAGGAGAGTTATATCTCTAGGCGGAACAAAACTAACATCTTATCAACGTGGTCAAAGGCAGGAAAATATAACAGTATTTTAATTCAGTATTTTAGTCGTGATTGGTATAAGTGAAGTCATGGGAAAGATTATGTCGAAAGTCATCTATACTCGTTGATGTGCAGGACTGTGCTTATGCATACAGCTTTAGCTGGTCCCGCCCTGTATTTCTATAATGTTTTTTTTTTTTTCGTTAAGAAATCTGGTAAGGTATGTTAGTAAAAATAAAATCCCGGTTAGTTTATTACTCTAACGGAAAGTACTTTCCTACAGGCCTGAAGATCGAGTCTATTAGTCACCCAAGTTTTTTTTTAAAAAGAGTAGCATGTCGGCGAATAAAAATAAAGTAGTGCACAACATAGATAAAGAAATGTTTGTTGAAGTATTGACAAACTTCATACCTTTATAGAATGAAATCAACAAAAACTGAACAAAAATACAACTGTGACAATTATACAATGAATTAATTATACAATTAATTCTTTTAATAGATTGCCTTTAGTAGCATGTACTACTTTAAAAGCCATTGTTCTTAAGAAAAACAAAATCATGCAAAATATTATAGACTTTTCTTTATCTAAAGCAATGGCCTTTGGAGAAAAAAAAAATGGCTAAAAAAAGTTTGTTAAATATAATGTATGTACATTGTAATTTCATGCGAAAAGTGCAGGCGTTTACTACACGGGGATCTGCGTACATATTTAAGCAAAAAAAAAAAAAAGGAAAGAAAAAAAAGTTTTATGTGATGAATTATATTATACGCATTTATCTAATAAATGTCTATGTGGTACGTTAAGATTACAAATTTCACACAAAAACCCATCAACAATATTAAATACAGTTTTGATTTCACATTGATCTATTAACGTCATTCTGATTTAATATGATTATGCACAACGAGAATTAAGATCTATTCAATATAGACAATACCTATAGAAAATTATTTAATTTCTAAAGAGGATAGTTTTATTTTAAATCAGTAATGAAAATTGAAATAAAAATTCTGAATGGTTTGTTCTTTCATTGAACTTCTTAAATGAAGGTTATTTTATAAATATGTTCTCTTGTATAACTTTATTTATGGAATATACAATTTTTTAAATGATAAAAGAAACACGAATCATCATCTTAATTCAAAGGGATTTTCGGTCGGAGTCTGTGTGTGTATATGCTCGACAACAGTCTATTGTTCCCTTTAGGTACAAAACCGTCTCAATTCACACAGAATATACAAAAAATACACAGTGACAGGTGTCTTCGCGGCACGTGTCTCCACCTGAAATGGCACGTGAGAACAGGTGTCCCTAATTACACAGGCCGACCATAGTGACTTTTTCAAAAGCGTTATTTTGTGTGTGTGGGGGGGGGGGGGGGCTTCTCAGGGAAAAATGAAAAGCAACCCACCCACCCCCAATAATAAAAGTAATAATTTAATAAATTAAAAAGAAACAAACAATATTCACTATTAATAGTAAAGTATTAGTATGATAATATTTAACCCCCAGCCAATTCGATGAATGATTCTAATCTGACCAGTTTATATTAATATATTAATTCATATTAAAACAAAATCTTTATCACTTTCTAAACTTGTATTTAAAAACTTGAAACACTAAAAATGTAATTTTGACAAACCAACTGAAGTATTTTTTTCCTGACGGATTACCCCGGTATATAAGAAATGCCAACCTCTGGTATCTAACACAAATGCCTGGTAAGGTACCTTGATGTCTTGTGAAAACATGTAATTATGTAAAAATAATTCTTCAATGTCAATTGCAAAATATTGGGAAAAAATTTAATTATTTTATTGAGGAACGTTTCACCTGTCCTTAATCAGTAATCGTAACTTGACATATTTCTTTATTTACTTTTTAATCGATCTTTTTAGTAAACCTTTTCTGTAAATAATTTCATTAAATGTACCCTTACTTAGCTCTTCCATTTTTTCAAAGGAACATTCATCATAGACAGCTTCAAGAAAGTGGGATCGGAAATGATTGATTTCTACATAACTGCATGCACTTACGTTTTTCTATTCCACTTCACGCATTTTATACGAGTTTACCAAAACTTATGTGATAAATCAAATTCAAAATTTAATTAAATCAAATATAATTCAGTACAATAAAATTAAATTAAAATTGATTTGCGTTCACGGTGCTGAAATATTAAATTAATCACATAAAAATACATATCTAGTTATTTTAACTGTTTGAAGTTAATTATTTTGATACAGCATGTAAACACTTTTGAAATTTTTCTATAATTGGTAAAAATATGTTAACATAATTAAATATTTAACTTTTTGTAAAATAAAAGGTAGGTGGTTAGCATTGAGATATACTTTCAAAGTTTCCCTGCCTGGGAAACATGGGGAAAACTACACATTGGTGGCTTCCATGTCGGGAATCTGTATGGAAACCACTGAGGCATGTTTACATGGTTTCCTATCTTGGGAAACTTACGGGAAACCACAGGTTGGTTGTTTCCATATCGGGAATCTACATGGAAACCACCGGGGCATGTTTCCATGGTTTCCTATCTTGGGAAACTTACGGGAAACCACAGGTTGATTGTTTCCATGTCGGGAATCTATGTGGAAACCACCTGGGTATGTTTCCATGGTTTCCTATCTTGGGAAACTTACGGGAAACCACAGGATGATTGTTTCCATGTCGGGAATCTATGTGGAAACCACTATGTGGTTTCCATAAAATGGAAACTATATGGAAACTACTGATGTCACGATTCCCATAAGTTTCCATCGGGTTTCCAAATTTGGGAAACCTGGCTTTTCATCCTGTGCTGCATCAAAAACTTTAACCTGTTCACTCAACCATAAAATGTAGGTCAGTTTCAGCATCCGAAGTAAGCCCGGTAGTGTGCATCCTTAGATGTATCATCCATGCAAGTTTGGTCAACATAGGCTTATAGTTAATTGGAAATGAAACCTGCACCAAAAACATTACCCTGTTCACTCAACCGCAGAATGTAGGTCAGATTCAGTATCTGAATGAAGCCCGGTAGTGTACATCCTTAGATGTATCATCCATGCAAGCTTGGTCAACTTAGGGCTTATAGTTCCTTGGAAATGAAACATACACCAAAAACTGTACCAAAAATGTTAACCTGCTCCAAAAACATTAACCTGATCATTTCTTTGCTGAAATTGCAGCATCTGAAACTTTGACTGTTACAACGAAACACACTAGAAACATTTTCCATGCATGTCTAATCAATGTTGGACATAAAAGTATTTAAAAAGAAAACTGCTCCAAAAAACTTAACCTTGGACGCGGACACCGACGCCGACGGTATTACATAAGCTCCCCCAACTTCCTTGAGGTGAGCTAAAAATGCAAACAAAAACCTATTGACAAATCTGCTAGCATCTATTGCTTAGTTGTTTTTTTTCTTTAAGGTCAGACGACACGTTCCTCAATATTATATAATTTTTCCTAAGAATTTGTCATTGAAGTATAGGTACTTAATAAAGTTTCCTCACAAAAAACTAGGGGGCCTTACCAGGCAT